CGTCCAAGGATGAAGTACTTGGATTACCCTCTAGAGTCCCCTTGGGAGTAGCCAGGAAGGGGTTTGAGCCTTCAACAAGAATATGAGTAGTGAGGCATAACCTCATTGCTTATTCCATGACCTGGTCGCAGACCCCAAGTACATATTACATAGTCCACTCAAGGGGAGTCCTGGAACGTCCGCCTTAAACTGACAACATCACTTTCAAGAGATTTTAGAGCCTTAACATGTTCCTTATCCTCTAGTTGAATAGTTTGTTGATCCTTATCCATGTTGTGGGTCATCTAAGTAATAGCATCAGAAGCCTCCTTACTATGTTTCTTCTCCTCCTCAAGAGAAATCTCTAACTCAGATATATGGGTAGTCATAGTATAAGTATAATTGTGGATCTTTAAGAGAAACACTTTTGCTCAATTTCTTAGCATCTACCCTTCCAAGTGTCTATTTCCTTGGAGGGATTTCCAGCTGCCAGGACATCTCCCCTGCCAGCAACGGCCAGAGCAATAAAGAATATGCTTAGTACATGTTATAGCTGATCTTTGATAGGAGTTTCATCTTCTCCCCCTCAGAGAGGTTTTTAACAAAGGACACATCCCTCGTCGATACAATAAGAGCAACTTCCTCGAAAGCGTGGGCAAGTCTCGATGGAAGAATGTCAGTAGTTGCCAAAAAGGAGTTATCTCCCTCGACGAAGCATCCCTGGCTAGGCGGACCCGTTTTAAAGAGCCCTCTTGCATGGGGGTTGTTGGTCTATATTACGTCCACTCTTGGTTGAAATTAAGGACTAGGAAGTTTCCTCCACACTCAACTAGGTCGCAACACTGACGAGTTGTTTGATACAAATGGTAGTGGTAGCAGTCTCAATGGAGGAGAGGGGAGCAACAATAGAAGTAGGAGTAGTGGTATGAGGAAGAGGCACCACAACCTGTCTATTAGGACCATCCTTGATACATTAAGCACTAGCAAGGTTAAATAATGCCTACAACTTATCCATATTATATGAAAAACACAATCACACTTGTTAAAATAAAATATAAAAAACCCACAATACTCCATCCTCGTCAAAAATCTCTTTCCTCTCCTCTCGGATATTCACACCCAAGATGGTGTAAATGTCCATCTATTTCTTCCTCACCTTGGAAGATGACACTTTGTCTAGCCCAAATACTTCTTCATAACTAAGCCCTTGAAACCCGAAATGATGATCTTCCTTCATAGTTGCCTCGTCAAGGGAAATGAGGTATGGTTTAGTATGGTAGCAAATGACATCCCGATGGAAATAAGATGAAGACTAATACTTCAAAAATGTGCCTTTGTAGATGTAGGAAAACTCAGCAGGGGAGTAGTAGAAGGTAATATGAGCCTTAAGAGTAAGGGGTTTCACCAGCAAGAAGTACTCCGGAAAATCACCCCAGTTCTGGGTGAAGTGGTCGAACTAAGGGACGTCCATATGGAAGCTAATGAGCCCTTGATCGCAGTAGTCATCCCGAGAAGTGTGACCCAGGTTAAATAAGTTGAAAAATAACATAAGTGAAGGCTTACAATATTTATTCTCGGCACATAGTTGAAATACCCTAATGTAAGCTCAAGAGCTCGAGTGAAGCTAGGAAAGAGCAACCTATAAATGATTCAAGACAGACACTTCAAAGTCAGAGAAAAACAATCACAATCTTATCTAGGGGTGTTAACGGGGCAGGGAATGTGCGGAGGATGCTTTCCCGTTCCCCGCCCCGTCCCCAAATTTGTTCCCCGTCCGATCCCCACGGTATCCATAGATATCCACAAACATCAAATCTTAAACTTTTTTATTTTTTTCGATCAAAACTATGACATTAGTATTTCATTTTTTATATATTTTTTAAAACATATATTTTGCATATTTATTATTTTAAAAATAAAAACACGTATTGCACCCATAGCGAAAAATGCAAAAGCGATTGTAGTTGTTAATTTTTTTTCTTTCTACCATGCATAACTATATAAAAACTCATAACTAATATATCTCTTAATGCATAGAAAAATAGAAAATTACAATTGTCAAATATCCAAAATAAAATGCTAATAAATATCCCAAAATGAATAGAAAAATAGAATTGAGTGATAATCTAAAATATCGAAGCAATCGCCCAACAAAAGTTATAATTCAAGTTACTTTGGACAAAGTTAATCAATATGATTGGATTCGGGGACTCTGCGGGGACGGAGGGTACTTCCCTGTTCCCCGCCCCGAAGTGCTATCGAGGGATTTTTTACTTCCATCCTCGTCCCCGCAGGGGAAAAAATCTCCGACTTCAGATCCCCGGACAGATAATCCTCACGGATATCCCCGTTAACAGATGCAAATTGACATCCCTAATCCTATCCTTGTGAACAAGCACTCATGAAGTGAGACCTCACATCCGTTAAAAGAGATACATGCCCTCTTTTTCGAGCACATTAGAAGAACCGCCAATCTTGAGGGTCACCGACCAAGATGCTGGCAACCTCTATTGGTGCTTCAGTATTTAGTGTATACAGGGATGTCTACCACCTCAGCCTCCACCTAAGCGTACTTCACTGCATCGATCGACTCCACTAGCGTCACACCCTTCCGAGAAAGGTGTAGATTTTAGAATGATCGTCAAGCATGATCCAAGACACTATATCTGACCTACCCGGAAGTTCCAAACGGGCGTTCACCCAAGTGTCGTTGGGTTCGTGGTGATTGGTTATCTGAAAGAGTTGAATGAAATCATTAGCGTGTTCACTCATAGGTTTGATAGTTTTTATTTCCTTCTCAATCAAAATGGGAGGGGCATGGGGACTTCAGTGTTATTCTCCTCTTTGTCGTCATCCAAAAAGATGACTTCAAATGATTTGAATGAAGAAGCTCCTTCCTTAATGGTATGATTGTTTTGATAGAAGTATATAAGAGATAACTTGTGGGGAGAGAAGTTTAGAAAATCTGTGCAATTTCTCCCACTTGGAATGAGGTGAAATAGGGGAAAGAGAGTAAAAAGTTGTGGGATCCACTCAAAAATCCTTTCTCTGCAATGTTTCGAAGAAATTGAGATGAAAAGCAAATAAACATGTAATCGTTTGTTATTTTACTAATTTAGGCTTGTAAAATCAAACTCAACTAATTATTTTATTATAGTATTCAATAAGATTATAGTACAATGAGAGATGGAGAGATAAATCAACTAAAATTTTGTAAAATTATTTAAATATTATTGTGAGTTTTTTCTATCTTTAAGCTAATAATTAAATAAAATAAATTAAAAATTAAATAACTTTAGTTTATAAATTTTAATTAAGGTTGTATTAGTACTTTGAAAATAATTCTTATTTCTTTCTTCTCTATTTCTTTTATCTTTCATTTATACCAATCAACACTATTTTTCATTTATTTCTCTCTTTTTATATTCTTTCTCACATATTTTTCTCTTCATAAATTCTTCTCACAACCAAACACACCCTAAGGGAGTTCCCAAATTCCATTTTTGAGTCAGAATAGTTAAATAAAAGTATACCTTATGGGTCCATGCAATCACGAGTCAGGGGAGAGAGATGATAATCAGAGAACACCCCATTCTTGCAATAGAGGAAACATCGCTCTCAGAGTCACTCATCAAGTTCACAATGCTATCACTAATCCTGACTAGAAAATAGGAAATGTTGAAGAAAAAGTTTGAGTTGAGGAAGATACTTAGATATGTGAGATTGATGAAGAATAATAAATGAATAAAGTTAAAGATTTTGATCAAGAAACTGCAATCATATTGATTAATACTCTCAGGAGAGAAGAGGTGAAGGTTTTTGATAATGAAGTGAATATAAATGAGCTTGAATGTCAAAGATTGCGAAAAATATTCGACGCTTAACTCCTACCTATTTATAAGCAAAGATGGTTGAATAATCCAAATTTATGAAGGAAAAGAAGATGAAATCGACGACCGAAGCTCCCCTTGGAAATACACACAAACTCGATTGCACTCAAGTACATTATAAGTCACATCGTGCCCAAACTTGTCGTGTTGACACATGTGTCAGAAGAAGGTAATGAAATATTTCAATGATGAAAATACATTTAACGCTCTTGTTTCCCACTACTTTCTCAAGTGACTCCAAGTATTTCAGCTCTATCTAACATAAGATAATCTCTTTAGAGACTGACCATAATCACTAAAGACTTCTCCGACTCATTCAATGCCCGACAAAGTCTTGAGAGCAACTGCTTTTAGTCGGCTAAGGCTGAAATAGCTAAGACCCAAATCACTTTAAACTCATTCTACGTGACCCAAAGTATAAAATCATTTCACATGGAAAGCAAGGTACATTATCTAATTTTCACTTTTTACTATACTCATCTTAAACCTTGAACTGACTTGAGCGTTGAAATGTTAATCTTGCAAGTTCATCCCGCACCATCGTACCAAAGATCAACACCATTGATTCAAAATTATGAGTTCCTCAACTGCATTCAATTCTAATTTCAAGATAGAACAAACATTTATATATTCCATTGAATTTTCCTTACAAATACATCTAATTAAAATATGACCAATTTTTTTTTATTTTAAATTTTACTTAAACAATTAATATAACAATGTAATTTGATTGGATATGTGTTGTTTTATGCGGTCAATACATAAATATTAATCTTTAATTTTTTAATTATTAAATTGATTATTTTGTGAATGAAATAATTATTTATAAATTGTTGTTTTTCAAAATAAAATTATTTTATAAAAGGTAATATCATCTTATCATCTTTGAGCATTATCTTGATTTTCTATATATTTTTATAAAAAATTATTCACCATTAACTATAATTAGATGCAGTGATTATCCAAAGTATTCAATTACATTTATTTATTAGTAATTTTTTTTAACACATACCTTAGAGGTTTGCACATATACCTTATAAATCTTGTATAAATTTATAGTAATTATCCTCAACAACCTCCACTATTTGATTCTTTCACTTTCATCTCCTCCTCCTCCTTTCAATACCAATCATGAATATGTTTGGACTAAACACACACAAATCCTATTTTATTTTTCTTCTTCTTGTATCTATGGGACTATTTTCATATTCAGTTCATTCCATGAGATTTGAATTACCATATGGTAAATCTGCAAGATGCTTCACCGAAGAAATCAATAAGAATTCGATGGTAGTTGGAAAGTACTCCATCGTCGATCATAACAAGTTGCCTCCTAACTACACTATCTCTGTTGAGGTATTGGTTTAAAAAATTATGCTAATTAACTATGTTAATTTGATTATTGGGTTATTATTTGTGATTTAATTGTTGATGTTTATTAGGTGTCTACTCATGGAGATAGGCCAGAAATATTTCATTTTGCAGAGAATATTCAATTAGGGCAATTTTCATTTATGGCATATACAAGTGAACAATACTTTGTATGTTTTTTGGATACAACTCATGATCCCAAAGTTACACTGTCTATTGATTTTGAGATGAAAACTGGAGTCAAAACCTTGGATCGCCTCAATATTTTAAAGAGAGCTCAAATTGATGTAAGTTTCTCAAATTTTTAGTTTAATAATTACGTAAAATAATTATCACTTTATATATTGCAATTAATCCATTATGTTGATACTCTATGTCTTATTATTATTTGTGGTATACTAAAATATTATTGAAGAAAAATAAATTAAAATATGGAGAAATGTGTCATTACCACCTGGAGATATGTTTTAGCTTTGGTTGCATCCTCGTGGTTTAATTCCTTTGTATCTATTTGGATGTTTGTGACTTTTTAGCTGGTGTATATTCCTTTTTTATTAATATATTTTTATTGGATTTTTAAATAATCGTGGAGTCTAAAAATTAATTTGTATGAATTATTAGTACAAAATAATTTTATATTGATAGTAAAATCACATCATACCATTTATATATATTATATATTTTTATGTACTTTTAGAAATAATAATATTATATCTAAAAAATATAAGATTTAATTGGACATTATTATAAAATTATTTACATCGATAGTAAATAATAGTTAAAGTCTATATTGTGTAATAAAAGCAAATTAAAATATAAATAATATCAAATTATATAATATGCTAATATATTATGTGGGGTTGGTGAGGTTGAATGGATCTAAGCGGTTAGTATACTATTTAATCTTTACGCAAAATATAAATAAATTGTTAATATATATAAATCAATAACTTTTTGAAAAATATATATTATGTGTCATCTTATAAAAATATAAAGTGAGTAAATAACTATTTTGCTTTTTTACGGTAAAATAGCCTTAAAATCAAACATAGGTTTTAAAGGACATGTAATTGACCAATTTTATATCGTACTTCTATTTTAATATTTTTCTTAGATCCAAATATATTTTTCTTCCAAATTTTTATAAGAAAATAATTCAATGAATTGATTTGATTTCTTTAACACGTGGCAGGTAATGGCACGTGAGATACAAATTTTACATGAAACAGCATTATCCATACATGAGGAGATGTCTTATCTTTTGCATAGGTAAGTATCTACATTTGTTTGTTTATTTTTAATCCAACTTTTAGCGATAAGATTCATACTTTAGTTTACCAATAACTCTTTCTTTCAGAAATACAGAAATGCTAGAGCTTAACTGGATAACCGACCATAGAATGTTCTTGTGGATTTTTGTTTCATTTTTCGTCACCTTCTTAGTAACTGGATTACAGCAATGGCATTTGAAGACCTTTTTTAGGAAAAAGAAACTCATATAGTTTCTTATGTTATTGCGTAACTATATACACCTTAACTTTCTTATGTGCTCAATCAAGTATACATGTTTCAATTTATTAGATAAGAAGAACTGAAATATTTTCTATCAAATTATCTTTTTTTAGATAGTGGATAGACAATTTCATGGCTAATAATATATTGGGTCTTCTTAATTATCTTCGCATCGAGTCTAAAATTGAAATCTTAAAAAATATTTATAGTTTTATTAGTGTGTATATAAGAAAATAAGTTTTTAGGTTTATCAATATTGATCCTGCTCCAAACCTCTCTCGCAACATAGCAATAGAAGAATAAATGCATCATAGTTTCATATTCATGGAAACAAAGAGTACATACCTTTTCATATTCAATCTGAATAATACCTCTCGTTGATTGTTGCCTTTTTGTTGGTAATTTGTATTGGAAGTTTATAATAATTTAAATGCATGTATATGTTTCTGGAATCTAATTGGTAGCTTCAATTTAAAAAATAAGAACACTTTTAAAATGTAGGAATTGGTTTTTTCGTGAGTGTAACCGGTTACGTGAAAAGTCGTAATGGATTATAGCAAGTATTTTCAATTCTGTATTTATGTTTTTATCATAGGCGTAAATGATTATAGTTTTTTGCGTAATTGGTTACGAACCCGTGTTTTTGGGTTTTAACTCATTTTTAAAGTTATTTTGGACCCCAACTGTTTTGGTTGACTTGTATAATTACCCTCATATATTGTAATGTTTGGTTAATGCAATATTCTCTCTCTCTCTCTCTCTCTCTCTCTCTCTCTCTCTCTCTCTCTCTCTCTCTCTCATATTTATCTCATCTTTTTCATTCCATCTTCTCCAATTAACACAAATTCAATTAACACAAATTCTCCATTGATTCACCTCTAGAGCTTGTGTATGTTCCAACGTTTGACATTAAAATTTCTGGTTCTGATCCATAATCCACTGCAAAGATGAATACCGTTTCTAATGATAGAGTTTCCATCAACCTACTGATTCTTGATTCGAAGAATTATGACAAGTGGTCCAAACTAATGAATATTTTGTTTTGGTATCAAGACGTTCTTGAGGTGATTAAGACTGGAGTTACTCCACTTGGGGCATAAGCTACAAATGCTCAGAAGGCTGCATTCAAGGAAGAGAAGAAGAAGGATTACAAGGCACTCTTGATTCATTCTTGTGTCGATGGTGACAACTTTGAAATATTTGGTGATTGCAATTCGGCGAAGAAATCTTGGGAGATCTTAGAAAAATCTTATGTATGGGTGATAACATGAAATTATATCGTATATTCGACTTGATTCACATGCATTTCTATTTCATTTCAGGAGACTCACATAAGAAAAGAGGAAGAAATGACAGAAAATGTGTGACTTTGTAGCAGAAAATAGAAAACTGCATCAAAGGACTGTGACGATCGTCACAGCCTCCTGCCGGTCGCCATAGTATGTGTGTATGCGTGCCCCTCGGTACACATGTGTTCTGGTCGCCACGCCTTCAAAATATACGTGTCCCTCGGCACATATGATGTTACGATCGGCACAAGTTGAAAATATGTGTGCTTCACGACACACATTGCATGCCACTCGTCACAGGCTAATTTCAATGTTAAACACAAAGTTCACTCCACGTCTGCAATGAAACTCCCATGATTTTCTCAACTTCTCCGACCATGATCTCCATTATCTCCACTGTCTCCAACTTCCCACTATCTCCACCTTCTTCAGCTTCCCGTGATCTCCACTACCTCTCACATGTTAACTTCCATTAATTCTCTCTATAAAAATGATCGAGCATTCATTTTTGAACATCGAAGTTTTGTGCGCAAATTATTATTCTTAGTTTTTAGCCAGAAGAGTTTATCATGTAAAAGTGGTAGCTCCTCACATCGAGGAACTACCACACTATTAATACTAGGACTTCTTTTGCGTACACTTGGATCAACAATTCTGACGAAATTCGTCTTTCAATTTAGTTTCAGAATCAATTTTAGTTCAACTTTTATTTTCAGGTTTTATTTTACTTATTACTTTAATTATTTCAAGTCTCTATTATTTCTGGTTTTATCGCTTTTATTATTATACTACTTCTCTTAATTTTCAGTTTTGATTATTGTCAATTATTGATGTAATTCAATTTCTAGTTTCAATTTGTATTGCTATTATTATTATTCACTGCATATTTAAATATCGTGTTGTTCTTAATTGGAACTGTTAAGTTTAATTCATTTTTAATTAATTCTATGTCTAGCTAAATTATTTAGAGTCCGATATGTGAGGACCGTCATCTCCGACGAGACTCGGTAACAAATGTTGGTTTAATTAATTAATTTAGAAATTATGTTTCGATCTTTGTTTTTTAAATTTAATTTAAATAGCTTTGTCACGAGAGGGAGAGGTTACTTAACACGATTTTGCCACAAGAGTGGAAAATTAACTAAGGTTCGAGTTGGCACTGCGAGAGCGTAGGGGTCGAACTCGATAGTAGAAACTAGGCATTAATCCTAAACACATCAAAAACACTTTAGGATTAATTAGAACTTGTTCATTTTTTAAAACGCATTCCTTTATTGAAATGGGCGAGCGAGAGCAAAATATCATGGTTAAAGAATGCAGCTTTATTCAAAATCACAAGAGTGTGAGGTTCAATCTTTAAATTGATATTTTCTACTAATCACCTTTTTAACATCGATATAAGCCAATGAGTTACAAATTCCTAGAGGTACGCGGAATACATATTCCAGTCTCTCTTTTCTTATATATTTCTTTAATCTTATTTTATTCCAGTATTAGTTCTTAGTTTCCCCTAAATTAATCATCCATTAGATTTAGCTTTACAAAACGACAATAAATTACAGTAGGTTGACATTGGTCTCTGTGGGTTCGACAAACTTTTATATTACTTCGATATTTCCATGCACTTGCAAATGCACCAAGTTTTTGGTGCCGTTACCGGGGACCAACAATCAATGTTTTTATTTCCATTGTTGCACCATATAGACTACGACACTCTAAAATTAATTACTATGTATCATCCAAATTTTTCTAGAACTCCCATTCTCATTATTTCGAGGAATCATAAGAATCCCATAAATTTGACCTCGAAATACTTATGGAGGATTTCAATGCGTCACTGACTCACTCTCACCCAAATTACCTCTACAACCACCAATTCCAACATTTTAAGGAGTCACAAGAATCCCATAATTCTGACCTCGAAATACTAATGGAGAATTTCAATGCGTCACTAACTCACTCTTACCCCAATCACCTTAACTACCAATCCCAACATTTTGAGGAGCCGTAAGAATCCATAAATTCCACTCTCCACACATTAATGGAGGATCTCACTGCAACACTAACTCACTCTAGGGTAAAAAGTATGATGATGGAGCGCTATGCAGAGACAAAATGCGATGTTAACTCACTTTGAGGAACCGCAGGAATCCCATAATTTAAACCTAGAAATATCAATGGAGGATTTCAATGTGATGCTGACTCACTCTAGGCTATAATCTATGATAGAGCATTTTGTAGAGACACAAACTGTCCAAAATGAAGAGATAAGAAATCAAAGTCTTCAAAATAATGAAACCCTTAGGAAGCTGAACAATGCGGTTGAGTCCCTCATGACTCACAACATGGCCTTGGAGATCCAAATCTCCATGCTTGCACAAAATCCTCTAGGACCCTTCCCTGAGGAGCAGGTGGATATTGTAACAACCAATAGTGAAAAATAAATCGAAAATCCTAAGGAGAGTGATAATGAGGTTGAAGAGTAATAATGAGGTTGAGAAGAGTTTTGATGAGAAAAGAGTAGAGATTAAGAAAAATACACTAACGCCATCTGAAAGGGAGGTTGTCGAAGAGGTAGACAAGGAAACATATATTGTTGTTCCTCCTCCCTATAATCCACCTATTTCTTTTCTGAAAATATTTGTGGAAGCTAATGTAGATGCACAATCCAATAAGTATGTGGAGAATATCCACACCAATGCACCTTTGTTTGAGGTCCCGTATAAAAAGAGAAAATTTGAGGACCATGAAACTAGGGAAATCATTATAATTAAGAAGGGAAGGTTAACATTCGATATGGTGGGTGAAATAACTAAGCACAAACTTGAAAGGCTGATACTCAAGATAGATCCTGAACCACCACCACAAGTTCAAAAGAAGGAACCACCCCACAAAAGAAAGAAAAGAAAAGGTGAGAGATATGTGAGATGGATTGATAAGTGGCCATGGAAACCAAAGACGATTAAAAAAAATTAGATCGAGGAGTTATTCTCGAGAGAATCACCATGAGTGCTGACACTCTTGAGTCGTCAAGCTACCAACGTTAAAAGAAGCACTGCGTGGGAGGCAACCCACGAGTTTCAATTTAATGTTTTTTCTTTTGTTTGAGTTTGCAGAAAATAAAGATATCAATCGTTTGACACCTATCAGTTGCATGTAGGCAACTATCGAGGCGAGCATTGATCAGGTTCTTATTCCTTTTCCCACTTTTTGCTGAAACATTGAGGATAATGTTTGGTTTAAGTGTGGGGGAGGAACTTTACCGCTTTCCATTTACCGCTTCTTATTTTGATTTATTAGTTTATTTTATGTCTTTAAGATTTTATCTATTTCCAATATTTGGTCAAGTCATTGCATGTGATGTCAAGCCTGTATGCCTGTTTTTCAATTGTTATTGAATTTCCCCGAATTTTTAAAATTTTGACCTCCAACAACAATTTTCTTGTTGATGAATGGCACACACACTCTAAAAGTATATAGGTTGACACACTTTAGGTTGTGTTAGAGAGACTTGGGAAATTTTTGATAAAATTGATACCGTTTATGACACCCTAAACCCCCTCATTATGTGATAATCAATTTAATACCCATTATGCCAAAACCTTAGGCTCAAGTTTTCAAAGTAGCTCTTAAGTAGTTTATATTGGCATTCAACACCATCTTAAGCACAAACTACATAGGGAGTCAATGAGTATAAGTGA